TGGCAAAAATTGAGTCTATTGCTAGCTACTGAGTACAATAACATCATCGATGGGGGTGGCAAGACGAATTATCCATAACTTTTAAATTCAACTAAGACGCATTTTTTTAAAAGAAGACCCCAAATTAGACTCCAACGATACATAATCCAACTCTAAATCCACCCGAGTTCTTAAAATATGCCCATTGTTCAAATATTCTGTATAAAATCGCAAGATATATAAATGGGATATTCTATATCCCTTTATCAAAACATGTGCTCCTTTTCTAACCTTCAAAATCCCATATTCAACAATGCACATGTATCCTTTTGAATCAAGAGTACTTATCGAGACAAGATTTCTCTTTAGATCTGGAACGTGTCTCACTGCATCAAATATTCTAACCATCTCATAACATCTTTATTCTGAACCGACCAATATTTGCTACTCGATAAGGTGTATTAATATCATACATCACAACACCTTTTAAAACTTCTTCATATATTGAAAACAAATCCTGATTAGGAGACATATGAAAAGTGCAAGTTATATCAAAAATCCAAACTTCATCAAGTTTGGAGTTGTAGTTAGAAATAAGTAAAAGCTCCCCATCACTATTACGATTTTCTGCAATGCTTGCTTCCCTTGAAATTTCTGATTGTTGATTTACAATTAATTTTACTTTATTGTGCATCTTATAACAATCGTTTATCAAGTGCCCCCTTTTCTTGCAATAATTACAAAATTTGAAGTTAGATTTTGACTTCCCCCTGTACGATCACCATCAACAATGAGGTCATCTCCATGACCATCAGATACTACAAGATGCTTCATCTTCTCCTTTAAATATAGAGCATCATACACTTCCTCGATGGTGAGAGTATCATATAAAACCGTGTCTCTAAAAGACATGTATGAAGAGAGCTATGGACAAAATAAAATCAATCCCATGTCTTCTTCATCATATTTGACTTATGAGGTCTCCAAATCAGCAACGATTTCCTTAAAAGAAGCTAGGTGATCCTCAAGATATGTATCTTCTGTCATACGATGAGAATATAGATGTTGCTTCATATGTAATTTGCTAGTGAGATTCTTCGTCATGTATAATTGTTTCAATTTTAACCATAATGCAGTGGCTGAATTCTCCTTCAAAACGTCCTAAAGAATATTTTTTGAAACATGAAGACGTATTTAAGATAGGGCTTTCCATCCCTTCGTTGTTTCTCCTCCGGAGTCCAAGTTGTCGGCATCTTGTCAAATCCCAACAACGCGTCGTCCAAATCCATCTCAGTGAGTATTGCTCGCATTTTTACCTGCCATAAAGAGAATCTTGTATTGCAATCTAACAGTCATTGTTGTCATCACGAAAGATCAAATTGAGCTATTAACTTGATTAAAACCTCAATATTCCCAAGAATTTCAAATCCATAAGCTTTTATACCAGTTTGTTGTGAAACAAAGATGATACCGGATGAATCCAATACCAGTTGGTGGGAGAAAATAAGAGATTACGCCACAATATGAAGTAAAAGTCTCAGAGACTGAAGAACAATGTAATTTGCAGAGAAAATTCTATTACTTGTCACATGTATAGTCAAAGAAAAACTTGAATCCATTTATAAATTCTTGTTTGCATTTCCCAAATGTTATAACCATTTATAGGGGTCTTTTAGATCTGAATTAGATCAAACAAAACTGAGGCAATCCGAATTACAACCATCAAAATTAGTTAAGAGAATTACATTTGCCATTGGAGCCTTTTGGCAGTGTAGGTGACCTATAAGGCGGCATACCTGCACTGCCATTTCATCTTTTAAATCCAATTTCCACTTATTAGAAAGTAAGCGTGCTTGTCTATTAAAGACTGTTTTCATTGTAAG